GTGCATGCCTGTAATCCCAGCTTCTCTGGAGGCTGAGGCATGAGAATCACTTGAGCTGAGGATGTGGAGGCTTCAGTGAGCCGAGATGGTGCCACTGCACTCCAGTCTGGGTGAAAGAGCAAGACTGTCTCAAAATTTAAAAAAAAAAAAATCACAAAATTTACAATAAATATTCTTAAATATTCACTTTAGTCATAATTATGCAACATTTTACTAAAATGTTTTTATCTTGCAAAGCTAAGTCTCAACACATATTAAACAACTACCAATTTTTCCCATTTTCATGGCACTTTTCAAACACCAGTCTTTTTTTTCTAGGAGTGTAACTGCATCATGTATCTCAACAATCTCTGTCTTTTTATGACTGGCTCATTTTATTTTGCATAATGTCATCAAAACTTATCTTTATAGTTGTTAGACTATCTTCTGCTTTTTGAAAACTGAATGACAGTCCAGTTTTTTTGTTGTTGTTGTTTGTTTTGTGTGTGTGTGTATGTGTTTTTTTTGTTTGTTTGTTTTTTTAATAATACAGATTCTCACTCTTCCACCCAGATTGGAGTACAGTAGTATGATCTTGGGTCACTGCAACCTCTGCCCCTCGGGAGTCAACCGATTCTACTGCCTTAGCCTCCCAAGTAGCTGGGATTATAGGCGAGTGCCATCATGCCTGGCTAATTTTTGTATTTTTAGTAGAGTCGGGGTTTCACAATGTTGGCCAGGCTGGTCTCGAACTCCTGACCTCGTGTGATCTGCCCTCCTCAGCCTCCCAAAGTGCTAGGATTACAGGCATGAGCCACAGTGCCCAGCCAAGTATTTTTATATTTCAGATCGTATCTACCAAATGATTTGGTGACAGAAACTTGTTTTGCTTTTACCTATTGGCTTTCAGTAGCAATAGTATAATAATTATGGGTATGAAAATGACTCTTCATATGACCATATATGTGAAAGTATATATATGTGCTACATTCTATTTTGTCTACTTTTTTTAACCTTTATACTTGTAGCAAATTGTTTTAATTCTGTAGCTTTGTAATATGTTTTAAAATCAGAAACTATAATGCTTCCAACATTGTTCCTGTTTTTGAAGATTGTTAGGTACTTTATTGTCCCTTGAGATTCCATATACTTTAGGGGTTGCTGTTTTTATGTCTTCAAAAATGCAATGAGAAATTGGGAAAACATTGCATTAAATCTTGTGTATTGAGCAGTATAGACATCTTCACAATATTAATTTCAACTTTTGAACAAAAGCATGCTAAAGAATTTGGTTTAATTTCTATATATTTGTAAACTTGTTAGCTTTTAATATTATTGTTTTATATTGTCATTCCATTTTTGTTATGGAAAGTAATCCATAAAATTTCAGTTCTAAAATACTTTTTAAGACTTTTTTGACTTAGTTGGTGGCCTATCAAGAAGAAAGTTGTATGAGCTATCGATAAGGGTGTGTATCTTAATGTTGTTGAGTTTTGTATACCTACGTTAGGAATATTTGTTTTATACTGCCTTCAGGTCCTCTGTTCTCTTACTAATATTCTGTCTTGTTTTATTCTTATTTTAGAAAATGGGATATTAAAATATTCTATAATTATATTGTTCTCTGTGTGTTTCTTCAATTCTGTTGGTATTTGCTTTATATATTTAGAACCCTAATGTGAGACACACATACACACACACACACACACACACACACACACACACACATACATGCAAATTTGTCATAGGTTCCCATGAATCTGTTGTTTAATGTCCTTATTTGTCTCTTTGGAGTTTTGACTTAAAGTACATTTTATAAAATATGACAGTTACTTAAGATGTAGCTTGTGTAATACTGTTTTGATGTCTGCTGCTCTCGTTTTGTTAATATTTGCATGGAATGTCTACTTCCATCTTGCCACTTTCAGTCTTTTTATTATTAGATCTTTTCTGACTCTTGTAGAAAGGCAAGTTGGATCTTGATTTTTCTTTTCTTTTTTTTTTTTTTAGCGGGAATCTTGTTCTGTCACCCAGGCTAGAGTAGTGCAGTGGTACCATCTCAGCTCATTGCAACCTCCGCCTCCCAGGTTCAAGCAATTCTCCTGCCTCGGCCTCCCAAGTAGCTGGGATTACAGGCGTCCGCCACCATGTCTGGCTCATTTTTGTATTTTTAGAAGAGACAGGGTTTCACCATATTGGTCACGCTTGTCTCAAACTCCTGACCTAAGGTGATCCACCACCTCGGCCTCCCAAAGTGCTGGGATTACAGGCATGAGCCACCGCGCCTGGCCGATTTTTCAATTCTTTAAATAAATCCCTTTATTAAATGTATGTCTCTTGATTGGAAAGTTAATTATATATATTCAAATAATTTTCTGAAGGTCTTATAATGTCATTTTATTAGTTGTTTTCTTTGATTCTTGTATCTTTGTCCCTCATTTTTCTTTGTCTTCCTTTGATGCTTTCATTTCTTTCTTATTTGTGTATCCATACAGATATTTTTGGGGGTAACTTTGGGATTACATAAAACCTCTAAAAAATACAACAATATAGTTTAACCTGGTAAAAAAAAATTAATTTCAGTTGCATACAAAGTTTTGTTTGTTTGTTTGTTTTGTTTTGTTTTGTTTTTGAGACAGAGTCTCACTCTGTTGCCGAAGCTGGAGTGCAGTGACACAGTCTCGGCTTACTACAACCTCCGTTTCCCAGGTTCAAACAATTCTGCTTCAGCCTCCTGAGTAGCTGGGACTACAGGCGCGTGCCACCATGCCTGGCTACTTTTTGTATTTTTTTTAGTAGAGACAGGGTTTCACTATGTTGGCCAAGTTGGTCTCGAACTCTTGACCTTGTGATTCACCCGCCTTGGCCTCCCAAAGTGCTGGAATTACAGACATGAGCTACCATGCCTGGCCGCATACAAGGTTTTTTCCTTGTTACATCTGTCCTCAACATTGTTATTGATGGTGCTAATTATATCTTTTTATGTTGTATGTCCATTAACAGTTGTTTATAATAGTTTCTATGCTTTTGTCTTTCAAGTTCTAGAGAATAATTAAAAATGTGTACTGCACCATTATGATAATGCTAAGGAATAGTATTTTTCTGTATGTGCATATCTCTCCCAGAAAGTTATGTATTTTCATATGATTATGTGTTGTTTTCTTGCATCATGTTATTTTCAGTGGAAATAACTCCTTTTCACCATCTTTGATATGTAGGGCAAATGGAGTGCCAATATACTTTTTCAGGATTTGGTTATTTTGGAAGATCTTTTCCTTTTTATCTGGTAGGACAGTTTTGCTGATGGTATTATTCTCACTTGGCAGCTTTTTTTTTTTTCTTTTTTTTAAAAGGATTTTGACTATATCACACAGTTTTTTTTCTGGCCTGCAAAATTTTCTTGACAGGTTCACTGGTTTTCTCATAAGACTATCCTTGTAAATGACACATCACTTTCATCTTGCAGCTCCCAAGATTCTCTTGCCTGTGACTGTTGAAATCGTGCTTATATATGTGTTATAAATATCTGTGTGTGTATCCTAGTTTGTTGAGCATGTTTTTTACATCAGTTTTTCCTACTTTTAAAATTTTTTAGTTTTTTTTGTAATTTTACCTTAACAATTTGTTTTTGATGTTTTTAACACTTGTTTTTATCCTCATATTTCTGATTTTCAATAGTTGTCTGTTCCTATTTAATTCATTGAGTATTCAATTTATTTTAAATTTTTAAAATTAATTTTTACAGCTTCATTCTTTAATACTTGCTTTCAGAAAATTTTATAATGTTTTTGATGAGGCCATGTTGCCTTCATATTTTGTATGCATTATAATTTTTTATTGAGATTTGGACATTAAAAACAAGCTACCCATCACAATCTTTATAATGTATCTTTGTCTTGTCATAGCCTGAAACCAACTGTCTTGGCTAGAGATTTTGGTAGTCTCTCAAACATGTTCTTAAAGTGTGTCTTTTCTGAAATTTTTTGGGATTTTTAGTTAAAGGAGTTTGTTCATGAGTCAGTAGTCACTTGCTACACCTGTTCCCTGTCTGTGGTACTGCAGTTTCTCTGCTGCTGCAACATTCACCTTGGGTCTCAGTTGACTCAAACTGTCATTCCATAGTATATCACCATTTCTTTTGCATTTTATGTCATGAGAGACAGAAATCAGTGTCTGGAAAGGTCCCTAGAAGTCTGAAATGAATATGTGTGTGCCACTATTTTTCTTCTCTTTTCAAAAAGAAACCAAGAGTTGCAATTTACTTCCTTTTTTTTGAGACAGAGTTATGCTCTGATCACCCAGGCCGTAGTTCAATGGCGTGATCTCAGCTCACTGCAGCCTCTACCTTCCAGGTTCAAGGGACTCTCCTGCCTCAGCCTCCTGAGTAGCTGGGATTACAGGCATGCGCCACCACACCTGGCTAATTTTTGGGGTTTTACCGGAGAGGAGGTTTCATCATATTGGTCCGGCTGGTCTTGAACTCCTGACCTTGTGATCTGCCTGCCTTGGCCTCCCAAAATGCTGGGATTACAGGCACGAGCCACTGCACCTGGCCTGCAGTAGACTTTTCTTTTCCTTCTATATGGCTCTTTGCATTGTGCTCATCTGGGGCACTGCACACACTTAACTCATTTATATATTTCCCACAAATGTATCTTGGTCAGTATGTTTTGTTACATTGATATGTCTGTGAAGGAATTAGGTCCTGTGGTATTTTGCTGTGCCATCTTGCTTATGTAGTTTGTATATTTTTATAGGTTAGATTTGTAAAGTATATTCATCTGAGTCTAGTAAGTGAAGTAATTGTTATTTTTATTTCTTTCAGTTGTGTGTTCTCATTTTGCCCAAGACCTTTGGCCAAAGCAGGGCTTAAAAGATTCTTTTCAAAAAGTGATCCTGAGAAGATATGGAAAATATGGACATGAAAATTTACAATTAAGAAAAGACTGTAAAAGTGTACATGAGCATAAGGTGCACAAAAGAGGTTATAATGGACTTAACCAATGTTTGACAACTACCCAGAGCAAAATATTTCAATGTGATAAATATATTAAAGTTCTTCATAAATTCTCAAATTCAAGTAGACACAAGAAAAGACATACTGGAAGGAAACCTTTCAAATGTAAAGAATGTGGCAAATCATGTTGCATACTTTCACAACTAACTCAGCATAAGAAAACTGCTACTAGAGGGAATTTCTACAAATGTAAAACATGTGGAAAAGCCTTTAACCAGTTCTCAAATCTTACTAAACATAAGATAATTCATACTGAAGTGAATCCCTACAAATGTGAAGAATGTGGCAAAGCCTTTAACCAGTCCTTAACTCTTACTAAACATAAAAAAATTCATACTGAAGAGAAACCTTACAAATGTGAAGATTGTGGCAAAGTCTTTAGTGTATTTTCAATCCTTACTAAACATAAGCTAATTCATACAGGAACAAAACCCTACAATTGTGAAGAATGTGGCAAAGGCTTTAGTATATTCTCAACCCTTACTAAACATAAGATAATTCATACTGGAGAGAAGCCCTACAAATGCAACGAATGTGGTAAAGCCTTTAACTGGTCCTCAACTCTTACTAAACATAAGAGAATTCATACTGGAGAGAAACCCTACAAATGCAATGAATGTGGTAAAGCCTTTAACCAGTCCTCAACCCTTACTAGACATAAGATAGTTCATACTGGAGAGAAACCCTACAAATGTGAAGAATGTGGTAAAGCCTTTAAACGGTCCACAACTCTTACTAAACATAAGAGAATTTATACTAAAGAGAAACCATACAAATGTGAAGAATGTGGAAAAGCCTTTAGTGTATTCTCAACCCTTACTAAACATAAGATAATTCATACTGGAGCAAAACCCTACAAATGTGAAGAATGTGGCAGCGCCTTTAGGGCATTCTCAACCCTTACTGAACATAAGAGAGTTCATACTGGAGAGAAACCTTACAAATGTAATGAATGTGGCAGAGCCTTTAACTGGTCCTCAACTCTTACTAAACATAAGAGAATTCATACTGGAGAGAAACCCTACAAATGTGAAGAATGTGGCAAAGCTTTTAACCGGTCCTCAACCCTTACTAAACATAAAAGAATTCATACAGAAGAGAAACCCTACAAATGTGAAGAATGTGGCAAAGCTTTTAACCGGTCCTCAAACCTTACCCGACATAAGAAAATTCATACTGGACAAAAACCATACAAACCTAAAAGACATGACAGTGCTTTTGACAACACCTCAAACTTTTCTAGACATAAAAGAAATCATACTGGTGAGAAATCCTAGAAATGTGAAGAATGTGACAAAGCCTTTAAGTGGTTGTCACACTTGATTGTATATAAGATGATTCATACTGGAGAAAACTCCGAGAAGTGTGACAAATGTGACAAAACAATTCTCATACCTTATTGCACAGGAAAGCATTTATACTTGAGAAAAATTGTATAAAGAATGGAAAAGTCATTAATATCTGCTCATATCTTACTCAACATCAGAAAGTTAGTACTTAATAAAAGTGTTATCAATGAAATTACTGTCAAAAGATCTTTCAGACAATATAAGCCTGTAAAGTGCAGCAGAGTATTTTGAAGAGAAACATTAAAAATACGAAGAGGTTTGTAGTACCTTTGCTTGTATCATAGATCTTACTGTACACATTTTGTACTAGAGAAAAACCCTGAAGCAGTTGTTCAAACTTTGTTCAATACCAGGAAATTTATGTTGGAGAAAAACCCTATGAGTGTAATGAATTTGGAAAAATACTTTTTCAACAACAGCTTAGAAAACATGAGAGGAATTATATTAAAATATATTTTTGCAAATGCAGCAGTAAATATGAAATACATGATCCAAAATTAGGTTTATATAAATATCAGAGAATTCATAGTACAGATATCTTAAGATACTGACACTTCAGACATTACACAAAATCAGAGTGCTGAGTACAGAAAGTTATCCAAAACACAAGTTGGTAGATAACTAATAGTGAAAAAGTTTTTTGCAGAGGTATATTTACATTCAAAGTACACTGTTTTCTTTGGAAAAAATTACAGGTTTTTAAAAAAGTGAATAATGATATAATTCAACTCTCAAATCCATGTTTTTTGGTCTTTTTTGGATGGAGTTTCGCTCTTGTTGCCCAGGCTGGAGTGCAATGGCGTGATCTCAGCTCACTGCAATCTCCGCCTCCTGGGTTCAAGTGATTCTCCTGCCTCAGTCTCCCGAGTAGCTGGGATTACAGGCATGTGCCACCACGCCCAGCTAATTTTGTATTTTTAGTAGAGACAGGGTTTCTCCATGTTGGTCAGGCTGCTCTCGAACTCCCGACCTCAGGTGATCTGCCTGCATCAGCCTCCCAAAATGCTGGGATTACAGGCATGAGCCACACACCTGGTCCATGCTTTTCTTCATTCCTATTGTATTCACATGTGAAAGCGTGTGATCAACTGTTGTTGCATCAAAGATATGAGAGATTTTTTTTTATTAGATGGGCATTACTTATGACCTTTTTAATGGAAGAGTAAGAACATTAAAATGAAAGACACGTGATGAAAATCTAAGTAGAGAGGCTCTTGTGGCTAACTGATAATATTGAGTCATGCATGAGGTAGGTGTTCAGAGTAATATTCTGCATTATAGTGAAAAGTTTTTAAACTTTAGTTAAAATTCAGTATTTTATGAATTGTGCTTTTCATAATAAAATGCAGTACATTTCAAAATTTTTAGATTATGTATGAACTTAGATTTTTAAACATATTTTAACATGTTAAGACTGTTGTATATTCAGTGAAGCATTTTTATGCCAGCCACAAACTTTAACCTGCCCCACCTTACTCAATGGCGTAGGTAAAAGATGATGATAGCAATATACTATTTGGTTACATAGTGGACTAACATCTTTAGTAATCTCTTTTGCCAGTGGCTTTAAACTGCAAATAAGTCAAAGAATATTCCCATAGGTTTTACATTTATATTTTTTTCTTATTTAAATTTATTGTTCTTATTTTTCATGGGTACATAGTATGTTTTTATATTTATGCCATATATGGCATGTTTTGATACAGGTATATAATATGTAATAATCACATCAGGGTAAATGAGGTATCCATTACTAGCATTTATCCTTTGTATTACAAACTGTTCAGTTCTATACTTTCATTTTAAAATGTACAACTAAATTGTTGTGGACTACAGGGTTATTTTTATGGTCATAATAAAAATTATAAAAGTATAAATAAAATACATTTCTGAGTCCTGAATATTTTTTAGAATATGTTATATATTTTTCTGCTCTTTGCCTACAAGCATATAAAGACTTTTAGTTTTGATTTACATAGAGTTAAATATAGATACATTTTACTTTAAAGATAAATCTCAAGTATAAGAAAATTGTAAGTGTGCTTGTGTGAGTATGTTTGTACCTATTTTCAGAAGAAAAGAGCAATATTGGAACAAAACAAATCATTTTAATAAGGTGACTAATTTACTAGAAAACTAATAACCTCAAAAATGCTGAAAGCAAATCTATACTCTTTCTGCTTTGTATTGAATTCATTACTGTAAAATATTATGGCTTATGGTTCAGAATCTCCCCATGCAGATGTTCTGTTTTTACTTGCCTGGTACTCATGGTAGAACTATACATTTCTTTTTTTTTTACAATTTCTTTTACAGTTTATGAAGTATTATGTGAGCTGGTCAGGGATTACAACAATGATTTTTTATAAAATTTAGTAGTGTACAAAAAGTAATTTTTAGATGTAATTTTACTATTAGTCTATTAAGTTATAATTTACTTATTTAGTTAAAACATTGCCCTTTGTTCTTTTAATTGGAGAACCCTATGTGAGCCTACTTTTTAAAAGTTATTCTTTCTTTCACTTTTCATAATTGATATAAGTAAATTTATTTATTTATTGAATTTGTTCAGGTAAGTACTAGGAAGGCTTCCTGAGTCATGAGGATGCTATTATATATAAACATAGCAGACAAACATGACAGTGCTTGCTGTGTAACAGATGCTCCATAGTAAGACATAAATACTCCTGTTGAAGTTAGTTTGTAACTTCAAGTCGGAAATGGAATATATCAATGGTGAAACAGTAACATTGATTCTTCATGTGGAGAGGACTTTTTTTTTTCTGGGCTGCAAAGCTGAATTCTGCTGAATTTAAAGAGAAATTCTGGTAATTTTCTAATTATCGTCAGGTTTGTTTGTCTTATGTGTATTCCAACAATGTATGCATCACAGCTCTTCTTTTTCTGTATTATGGCTACAGTTTTCTCACTGTTGTCTTTATGCCATGTCATTTCGCATGGTAATTTAGTAAGTTTTGATGAGAAATTTCGTATTTTTAGTGCACTGAAAAATTGGTTTTAATTGGCGAGTTTGCTTATCAATATAACTCTCAGATTGTTAATTAAGATAAAAGACATACACTGGCCACAGGTGAGAGGATTAAATCACTTGGCATTGTTTTTAACTGTAAAAGAAAAATCTTACTAGATTCTTACACAAAGTGTGGTGCATATAAAATTTGCTAGAAAATATGTCAGAAATAAATTAATTTTTTTTTTTGACATGGGATTTCACTCTTTTTACCCAGGCTGGAGTGTAATGGCCCGATGTTGCCTCACCACAACCTCCACCTCCCAGGTTTGACTCTCCTGTCTCAGCCTCCCGAGTAGCTTGGATTACAGGCATGCGCCACCATGCCCACCTAATTTTGTATTTTTAGTACAGATGGGGTTTCTCCATGTTGGTCAGGCTGGTTGTGAACTCCCGACCTTAGGTGATCCACCCACCTTGGCCTCCCAAAGTGCTGGGATTACAGGCGTGAGCCATTGTGCCTGGCCAGAAATTAAATTTTTGAGAGAGCTAATGGTAAATCTGACTGGGCACGCTTGCTCATGCCTCTAATCCCAACACTTTGGGAGGCTGAGCTGGGTGGATTACTTAAGGCCAGGAGTGCGAAACCAGCCCAGCCAAGATGGTGAAACCCTGTCTCTACTAAAAATACAAAAATTAGCCAACTGTGGCCGTGTGTACCTGTAGCCCCAGCTACTTTGAAGGCTGAGGCAAGACAATTATTTGAATGCAGGAGGCAGAGGTTGCAGTGAGCCGAGATCATGCCACTGCACTCCAGTCTGGACAACAATGAGACTCCATAAAAACAAAACAAAACAACAAAAAACAACAACAACAACAACAAAACCGATAAATCAAACATTTTGAATTTAATCTTCTATAATATAGCACAACTTATGTTTTCACACAGAATCTTCTATTTTTAAGTGTGGCCGTTAAACATTGCAAAATAAAATGACTTCTGTTGATTTGAAAGTTGGAATAGTATTTCTTTTCCATATTGATATTACAATTTGGAGGAATTTCTTACTTTTTTAGGTGGAGTCTCACTCTTGTCACCCAGGCTGGAGTACAGTGGCGCAATCTTGGTTCACTGCAACCTTCGCCTCCCGGATTCAAGCTATTCTCCTGCCTCAGCCTCCTGAGTAGCTAGGATTACAGGCACTTGCCACCACGCCTGGCTAATTTTTCTACTAATTTTTTTGTACTAATTTTAGTAGAGATGGCGTTTCGCCATATTGGCCAGGCTGGTCTCGAACTCCTGACCTCAGATGATCCACCTGCCTCAGCCTCCCGAAGTATTGGGATTACAGGCATGAGCCACTGCTCCCGGTGTCACTTTTAAAAAATATATATACACATATATATTTATATATTATAAAAAATATATATATATACTTTTTTTGGTTGGTGAAGTTCAGTCTACAGTTTTTATTCTTAGTCACCTATTGGTAGCCAACTCCTTGGTCGTTTTCTCTGGAAAACTTTTGGAGATCATGGCAACTTTTGGATTAAAACATTTTCTATTTCTTTGCATGCAAATTTGTTTTCTGAGTGGTGTCATGGGTCCATAAACAACACTTGCCCTTTTAGTGTCTTTCATACCATTACCATCTGTACCAGAAACTCCAGGTGCCCCAAGCTTAAAAACCGTAAAGTACATTGACTTTTCCCATCGACTGTGCTGGGTCCAGAACATGGTGTTAAAATATCAGAGTTTCTGTGATTATGACAGATGACAAAAACCACACGAGAACAAAGTATTTTTGACACTATTCAGCCAGGTTTATGAAAAAGACACAGTATTTGAAACATTATCTTTCCATAATGTTTTAAAAATGAATTTTTTGATGTGACATAAAATGTGCATTTTTTCTGTAAAACATGATGTTTTGAAGTATATGTACAATGTCAAATGCTTAATTCTAGGTTAATGCTTTACCTCACGTAGTTAACATTTTGTGGTGAGAGCACTTCACATTTTCTTAGCATTTTTCTTAGCACTCTTCATTTTTTCAGTATTCTCTTAGCATATACAAATACATTATTATGAACTATAGTCACTGTGCTGTACAGAAAAATCTTTTGAACTTAATCCTCTTATTTAACTATAATTGTGTATTCTTTGACAGACATCTTTCCAAACCTCACTTTCTTCTAAATACCTCGGCATCTGGTCATCACCATTTTGCTCTCTACTTCCGTGAGATTAATTTTTTTAGAATGCATGTGTAAGTGAAATTATGACATATTAATCTTTGGCTTATTTCAACTAATATAGTGTCCTTCAGGTTAATCCATGTGATTGAAAGTAATACGATTTTCTTTTTAAAAGGTGAATAGTATTCCATTGTGTACATACACCACAATCTCTTTATTGACTCATTAGATGTTGAACTGTTGATTCCATGTTTTGGCCATTGTGAAGAGTGTTGCAAACAACATAGAAGTGCAGATGTTTCTTCATTCTGATTTTATTTGTTAGGGATATATGTATACAATAGTGGAATTGCTATATTATACAATAGTTTGATTTTAAATTTTTTAAGGAATCTCTGTTTTGTTTTTCATAATGGCTGTCCTCATTTACATTTAAGCCAACAGTGTGCGAACATTTCGTTTTCTTCGTATGTTTACCAATACTTTTTTTTCTTTTTAATATGAGTAATTGTGACAGGAGTGAGTTGATATCTCATAGGTTTTTTTCTTTTGGCTTGCTTTTCCCTAATAATAATTGATGTTTAGCATTTTT